CAGAGTGTTAATAATCTCCAGTCAACACTTTAAATGCCACTATATCCAAATAAAATAATGTACTACTTTATAATAAAACAATATAAGAAAAAAAGAAAAAAGAAAGAAAATACAATCGTTTGGTAAATAAATAACTCAGATTTATACAAGATTTTTTTTCCCACAGCAGGGAAATGATAGGTTAGTGTTATGGTTTTAAAATACATAAATATGCATTTTTAATTTTAAAAAATAAACATAAATGTGCAGGTAATAATGATCAATAAGTACAGTATCTGTGATTTCAGAAATTAAAGCAAAAGCTACCTAAAATGTATGGGTGATTTACAAAACTACCATTATCGTCGTAATTATCAATAAGCACAATGCATGTTATTAGCAGCATTTTAGGATCCCAGCAGGCCCCTATTTTTACCCAGCAAGAACAGAGTTAACACTAAAGATCTTGGTGGGAAAATTTTCTTTGTGTATTTACATCTGGACTACAGATCAGTAGGTGGCAACATAATTCTACCTATTCACATACCAAAAAGAAAAATTGCAAAGTGAAAGAGTGGGATGTTAGGAATCAGGTATCGGCTGTAACCATTCAAATCTTATTATTTGATTTTTACAGTAAGGTAGTTATTTAAACAGGCAGTGCATCATCCTGGGCTGTTGTCATTGGGCAACTAAAAAATGTGATAAATAAAAATTCTGTGTCCTGTCAAAAAGATGATTTTAACTTTAAAGTATATGAACCTGAACAGTGTTATGATTTATCTTCTTAAGAAGAAACAGTCATGAATATGCAAATAAGCAATTGTGATCTGCCTTTTCTCCTATATTTATTTGTAGCCTTTTGGCACCATGTTCTTGTGCTCACTTGTGTATTCTTTTATCATGATGCAGGTCATTATGCACTCAGCTGGACATATGCCATATTAATGCCTTATTGTGCCTTATTAAAGTCAGCAGGCTTTACTTTTGAGTAGATGGGTGTAAGGTAATATTGTAAAGTATTCTTTTTCTATTGGTATTTTTAACTCAAATATTTATATCCTACCTTTCTATATTTGGTAAGCAGCAAGTTGAAAATTAAGCATTACAAGAAAGAAAATGTTGTTAATACACGTAATTTCAGATGGAAATAATCCATAACTGAGACTTTTTAAACAATTCTAACATGGATCTTGGATGTGATACAATTGCCCATCAGATTGCCCATGTTAAAACAGCAAGCACAGCACCAGTTGCTGACCTCCTTATCATAACACAATAGGACTTGACAATTGGGACGGTATTTTTTTCCCCTGCTGGCTCAAAGAGTGGAAGATAGCATTTCAATGCAACCAATGCAATTTTCATCCAGTCTCCCACCTCCCCCTTTTTTGGGGGGGGGGGGTGGGAGAGGGGGGGCCACAGCACCCAAGGGGGGCTGGGGGAATGGGTGTTTTT